TTTGTCCCCTCCTATAGCTTCTTTTTAGGTTTTCAGGCTACCCAGTGGCCAAGGCCTCTCTGGCAATGCTGGCCTCCGGGCCCTGGACTGGGCTTCCTGAAAAGGACCCTCTATGCACTCAGGGCTTACTAATGACCAAATCTTACACTTCCTAATAAGGAGCCAAGGGGACAAAAGGACCAGCCTTCATTCGTCGGATGGTTGGTGGCTGCATTTTGGTTTCTCTGCTCAGCCACAGACAGAAGTATGCATCTGAAGCAAAACCAAGCTACAGCTGACCTCTATAATGAGAAGCGGTACAGCTCAATCCACAGAAAAGACCAATGGCAACAATTCTCTAACCGTAACTAACACCCTAACTAGAATTTTACCATCAGGGCAATAAACTGCACTAATTAAGCTCTCAGTGTATAGACACAGCAGCTCAAAGGGACAGTCCCTACAGCAAGCCTGGGTGACTGTCCACCCAGGCCAGATGTGACAGCCCCTCACACGGTTCCGAAAAACTACAGGACAAAAGTGGAGACAGAGTCATCTCCATAGCTACAAGGCCTTGAACCAAATTTTCAAACAAACCATTGAGGAAATGGGAATACAACACTGCTTAACCGTCCTGTCCCTGCAGCCAGACTGAGCCAGACCACGAGGGAAGCTGGCCTCTGTGACCCACCACTTTACCTCCATGGCCAGCACAAAGCCTAGGAGGCCTCCGGGCCTGTTGTCCAGACCCAGGTTCTCGTGAGAGGCCTTAACAGGGCTTTCTAGCTTCTTCCCAGTGCTACAGAGAGTGGGGGCAGGAGGCCTGGTGTCGGTTACCCCCGTGCCCTGTCCGTCACTCCTCACTCATTCCAATCTTCCAGGGCTCCTTGTTACCCAAGAGCCTCGGGGGACCCCTACACACACAGCACCCACGCCTGCATGGCCTCACACACACCCTCAGCAGCGCCAGTCTCTCCGGCTCCCATCCTTAGAATTGCCCCACAGCCCATCCCTCGGTCATCCAGCGCTGCAGAGGGTACTGAGCCCTTTAGTCATTACTGTACTCAGGCAACACGACTGCATTTCACCTGGGCCCTTCCAAAAGCAAAGCCATCCTCCGAAAATGTGGCCCCCACCAGAGGCTGCATGCCCTGAGCCGGGTGGATAGGGCTCTGCTTGGGGCATATTGGCTGTGGGGACCCTGGGATCAGACCACATAGGGCGCTACCTATTCCCTCCGTGCCTGAGCCCGTCCTGATTTCCAAGGAGATGGGGAAAAGGTTGAAAGAGAGAGGGCCCCTCTCTGTGGGGGCACAGAGTAAGCTTGCTGTGTTGAGCCCAGCCTCAGCACCAGCTGGCGAGCGTGCCAGAACGTTCTCTATCCCCCATGCCACCTCCTCCTCTCACCTAAAATGGGAGGAGAGAGGGGGAGGAGATGCTTTCTTTTCCTCCTGTACTGAATTTATCCTAACTGCAGACCGGCTGCAGAGCTGGGGAGAAGATAAACAGAGAAGTCTAGTTATAATCCTTCAAAATCTCCCCGTGTCCTCCAGCCCACTCTGTTTTCTTCCTACCTTGTCGGAGGAGAAGCAGCTCTGCCCGGCCTCCATGGCTCCATGCTGCATCTGAGAGATGGTCGCTCTGGCCAGGGAAGTTCTCCTGTTCTCCCTGGGTGCTTCAGACCCCAGCTGAAGCTGCTTCACAGGCTGGGCCTGAGTCTGACAGGTGCTTGGCATCTTCTAACCAGGTCTCACCTGGGCCCTGGCCACTTGGTTACTCCCTACTTCCACTCTGCACCCTTAAAAGCTATCTCCAGAGAAATGGCACATTTGATTTGCCTCATAGCCCCCTCTCTGCCCATGAAGAAATATAAAATGGCAACAGCCTAAGAGAGAAAGAAAAGGGAAGAGCCTGGGTATCCAGCAAGCACTGGGCAGAGGCGAGGAGGTAAACCTCCCGGGGTCAGGACATTGTCTACTTTCATCTTCACTACAGCCCAAAGGGGATGAAAGAGCAGTCTCCATAGTTTCCCTCTTGGAAACTGGAAGAATCTGTACCAGAACTCAGGTGCGTGGCTGTTCAGCACCTCACAGTACCGCACCCCTGGGCTTGGGGTGAGGCACTAGGGCTGTGATGAGGCAGGACCATGAAGGGGCGCTGTGTGGGGGAGCCCTATGTCTGCACGGGCCCATAGGCACACGGCCAGGGCCAGCCCCAGTCGTACCTGGGGGGGCTGTGATGTCCCCAGCAGGGGTTGTCCAGTCCCTGTGGGACTCGGGTTCTGGTGTGATTTTGCCTGTGAACCCTCACGCCTGTCTTCCCAGGCTCACTCTCCAGTCTTCTCTGTAATTCTGAGCCATGCCATCACCATTCAACACACCTTGTTCTGCTTAACTCAGCCAGATTTGGTTTCTGCTGCTTACAGGTGAGAGCTTTTGCTGATCCCCCCAGGCCTCTGGGCTCTGATTCCAGAGACTTCCAAGCTGCTGCTTCCTAAATGCTTTCTGCCTGCCCCAGGCCCAAGTAGACCCATTCCAGTACACAAGCCGAGCACACCGCTTATCAAACGAGGGGGAGGAAAGCCTCTAAATCAAGCACTAGTTCCCCTACTCAACCAACTCCGATAGCCAGTCTTCCTCTATCCATAGAGCTTTTCCCCAACGATGAGCTGAGAATACTGAGGAGTAACTCTGTCCAGCAGGGAGCTGAGGACCCCTGAAACAAGGCGAAGTGTGATCTAGAAAGCCTCTGGCATGGCTTCTGACTGGTTGATTCAAGCTCATCCACTTAAGTCACAAGTTATTTCTACATGGGATTTTGATTACTAAAAGCAAGGTGCGCAGAGCCAAGAGTTACAATCCAGTATTACAATCTCCATTGCCGTGATTAGCAATCACCATAATCCCATTAAGGTAACCAACAGTGAGAAAACTAGGCAAGCATTTCTTTTTTGTACTTGCTCTTTCCCATTGGCATTTTTCTCTCTGCCCAGGCTTTTCACACCTGCCTGGCAATGTTAATTATTTACACCGGAGGCAGGGGTGGGCCAGGGCAGCCCTCTGGCGCCTTGAAATGACTTGTTTGCTTTTACTCAGTAGAGTAAGAATGTATGATTCCTTAGCCCTTGGGAGAAGTTTCAAATAACAAGAAACAAAGGGTTTCTTAAGTCCATCCAGAGATGGACTTGAACTAAGGACTGTACTTGAATTAAGACTTGGGTGGGGCGCCTGGGTGGCTTAGTTGGTTAAGCGTCCGACTTTCGCTTAGGTCATGATCTCGCGGTTCGTGGGTTCGAGCCCCGCGTCGGGCTCTGTGCTGACTGCCAGCTCAGAGCCTGGAGCCTGTTTCAGTCTGTGACCTCCTCTCTCTCTGACCCTCCCCTGCTCATGCTGTCCCTCTCTCTGTCTCCTAGAAATAAAAAAAAAAAAAAAAAAATTAAAAAGACTTGGGTGACTTCTTTTGGATATCTGCAGCCTCAGAATAAAACTCTGTACTCCTATACCCAGAGGCCTTGAGCAGGCAGAAGCCGATCTCTGATGGCCAATCCCTGAAGGCTGTGACACTCATCCAGAAGGCGAGGCTGTGAAATCAGTGGAACATGTGACTCTGAAAGAGTCCCGTCCCCTGCAGTCCCCCAGGACCCCACCTTCCCAGCAACATCCAGATGTGCCAGCATTCCAGGGGGCTGATTAGCTGTAGAACGTGCTATTTCCTTGTTCCCAGGATTCATCGGAGTTAACTCTGCTGCTAATTGGGTTTGTATCTGGCAGCGGTGACATCGAAAAAAAGGTTTTGTGATCAATTATGTTCTCCTGGAACACACAGGAAGGGGCTGTCCTGTCAACGCTGGGGTGGTCTCTACCTTAATGAGCTGCCTCAGAAAGAGGCACAAGAGGACATTATCGTCCCTGAGTACCTGCCTTTAGTGGCTTCTGTTGAACAAGAAGTTGAAGCTCTATCTGGGCACCGCATGAGTCTGCTTTACTGCACTTTCAAATTGCCTGCTTCCCATGGAATACATCTGAATGTGATCAGGTGTGTTTGAGCCACTTTAAAAAATCATCCCTGAGGAAATGAAACGCGCAAATGTCTTCCTGCAGCCTAACGGCACCAAAACCAGAAAATGGACCCTTACGGTCGCCGCTGACCCTGTAACGCAGCCACATGGCACGCACCTGGAGGAAGAGAAATGGAATTCTTCCTGCAAGTTTTTTTGTTTTTTTCTGGTTCAGAACAAACCATTTTTCCAATGTTTTAACATCCTGAGTGTGGGTGGAAGCAATGCTTACTTTGGTTTCATGGAAAAGATGGTGTGTTTATAAAAGAATCATCCAGCTGACTGGGGTGATTGCAGGAAGGGCCAGTGGTCACTCAGAGAAAACAGCAAGGCCTTGGCTTTTTTTTTTTTTTCCCCTTTCTTTCTTTTTTTACTTTTGCTTTGGGTCTTAGTGGGTCAATTTCTGCCGGTTTTTTAGAGCACTGGGGGTTTCCAAACCTCTGCGTGGAAGGCCTGGAGTCACTTCCTGTTCACAGGGAAATGGAAAAGCAGGGAAAGCTCCACATTAATTGCTCAGAAACAGGCCACTAGGCCCTGGGAGTTGCCCGGAAGGAAGTAGGCCTTCTCCAGGGCAGGGCCCGCTGGGCAGCAGGTGGCCCCAGGGGGCGTGACCTTCTGAGGAGATGGCTTCTGTCACAGGCGGTTTGTGAGAGTGGGCAGGGCGGGGGTCAGTCTGTGGGGAGGAGGGGATGCACGCAGGGTGGGCGGCACCCCTGGTGGGCGCTGCCAGACCAGCCCTCTCCTGAGGTCGGCCTGCACTCGCTCCCTCCAAGATCCCACGGGCTGTAAATGTGATACAATGTGGCCAAACCACTCCTGCTGTGGGAACTACAACCCCACATTTCCTGCCTTTCATCTTGCTTGTTTGGGAGGAATCTGTCACAATAAGCAAACCGCAGCCCCCGTCACTGGGGCAAGGGGCAAGGCTGTGGCTCTGGGCCTGCATGGAGGGCTCTGGGGGGCCATGCCGAGCCGCCTTCAGGACACAACAGAGAAAGGCCTGGGTGGCATGCCGTACCGGCCGCCATCTGCTCATGCCAGGCCAAGCGAGTCCTCTTGTTGGCCGGGGACAGAGACGTTGCTCAGACAAGGTGCACGCACGGCCTGTGGGGGGACATATGCTGCAGTTGTCAGAGCCAGACTGCTAATTCTGGGTTCTTTCTCTGGATGACGCTGGGAAAGCTTCGCGTCGGAATTTTATCATTAGCCGAAGAGCGCTGGGCCCTCCCTTGATCTCCTGCCAGAGTGGATTTTTGGAGAAGAGCCTGGCTTTGAAAAGGCAACTTCAGAGAGCATAAAGGCACACCATGAACACACCAAGGATAATTTTGGGGTGAGGAAACAGAGTTTTAAAAATCAAACACGAGCGTTTGTGTGCGCCAACAAGTTGTCCTCGCCTCCTGTCCTTGGGGGTGGCCGGGAGCACAGCAAGGGTATGTATGCGCCCCCTTCTGGTCCGGGTGGAAGGGCTACGTTATTGAAAGGGGGAAAATGCAGGACACGATAAACACGGGATGGTCACGGGTCCTTGTAGAGCCCAGCACTCCCTGGCTTGCTGAGTTTTCTCCTCATTCCCAGTCTGCTTTGTCTCTCCAGATCCCACCCCCTTCTGCCCCCCCTCCATCTTCAGCCCCCACACCACCCCGCCCCAGGCAGTCAGGATTTTCCTTCAGCCTCAAGTCCTTGAAGTCATGGGCTGTTTCTCATTCCCCAAACCTGCTTCCCAGGTCTTCCTTAGAATTAACCCAACCGGATTCCCTTGTTCTTTCTTAGCTTAGTTCCTCTGAATCTTTCCTTGCCCTTCTTAAGCCATCTGGGAGGTGGAAGATAATCTCACCCCATCTCAGGAATGAATTTCCATCTGCAAGGTATCAGTGCTTATGCATATGGTACAAGAGAAAGCTCCGGTTTAGGGCGAAAGTGACACATAAACCCTGTGCAAGTGGGAAGATGGGGGTGTTTGTCCCAGAGCCAGGACCCTGCAAACACGCTTTAAGAGACAGTTCTAATAAATGCACAAGATCCTCCTAACCAACACGCTAATACGTTGACAGAATAGAGACAAATACAGAAGTACAATCCTCCAGATTTGCCAGTTATTCTTCTCTAGGAAACACAAACCAAAGATTGGTCTCTGGGAAGTTACATGTATATGTATGTGTGTGTGTGTGTGTGTGTGTGCGTGCATATGTATATACATATGCGTGTATATACATATATATATCCTATATATAATGTTTATTAGAGAGAGAAAGCATGAGCAGGGGAGGGTGAGCAGAGAGAGAGGACGAGAGAAAATCCCAAGTAAGTTCCGCATTATCAGCGCAGAGCCCGCCATGGGGCTCCGTCTCACGAACTGAAACATGAGATCATGACCTGAGCCGAAATTCAGAGTCAGACACCTAACTTACTGTGACACCTAGGCGCCCCTGGGAAATTATATTTTTAAGAGGCAGAGTTTGAGGGACTGTCTGGAAAGGGTCAGATCCTTCAAACTTCATCCAGAATTCTGGATTGAATTAGACCTAGAACTGGCCTGGCTACAAATTAGGTGCCTCCAGTGGTGTACTTCTTCCCACTCAAAATGTATCCTGAAAGCCCTCAGGGCAGGAGAAAGGAGGAAAAGCAGGTAATTGGACAGCTGTTGTTTGCCTGGGACAAGGAGGGCCCCTCCCCATCATCCTGGGACCTTTGCATATTGACAGTCTCATGCTCAGAAAGGCTTTTCAGTGTCTGCAGGGCAAGGAGGAGGGGGAGCCCAGGCTGCATGTGCTATGACATCAGGGTCATGATGAAGCCGGGAAGTCCCTGGACCCTACCTCATGCTCTCTGAGCCCAGCACCGAACAGAACTGTCTATCCTTCTTGAAATGAAAAACAGGTAACATAAAGTTGACTTTCACACACAACTTGAAGTGCTTCTGAAAACAGTTTTCCAGAAGAATGGAAAAAAGCAGTCTGTACAAAATGGGCACATTTTATGAGCCCCTGAAGTGGAAGCACAACTGGTTTTACTCTTCTGCCATTTTGCACAGATCAGGAAGTAGGATGAGGCCACTGCATCGTGTTCAGTCGAGAGGCCAGGTATCTGGAACTGTGTGCGATTCCCCCACAGGACACAGGGCATCTGAAGAGCGCGGGCTCAGATTCTGCTGGAGGACTTCACGTGCGGGCTGTGTCTCCTGCACTGGGTAGTGATGCTTCCCAGAGCGCTGCTTCTCAAACATGTCTGCTGGTGGCACTCTAATGGCAGAGGAGGACAGAGATATCCCCAAGGGACGCGGGAGCTGTTCAAAGGGGCCACGAACAGCACCTTTCATATTTGAGGTCCTGTATCTTAGACATTCACGTGAATTTTGCATTTGTCTTTATTTTCACTGAGAAATCAGGCTTTCAGTTCTTCATCGGCTGGACCCAGTCTGTACTCTTGGGAGTGAGTCAGGACTCTACCATGAAGACAGGAAATGGAAGCCTGGGCCGGGGTCAAGCACGGGAGCTCTCTCCTGGCTAGAACCAGACCTGAGCCAGGCGGTGTTGCCCACCGTAGGCAGGCTGGTGAGGAGAAGGAGGTGCGCTGACCGAGTCCTTAAAGGCTAGTCTTCACTGAAGGCAGGGGCTCGGGCACCGAGAATTGGGAGGTGCGGTGACCAGGTCAGGGAGAGTAATGGGGACAGTTCTTGGAGGCTGTTCTTGTGCCTCAGAGAGGACAGTGCAGGCTTTGCGGGGGCGGGAGGGAACTTCCTTAACGGCTCTGCCCAACGTAGCAGGCCCCGGTTTTCAGGATCTCACCGAACAGGATGGGTCCCGTCCCCTTGGATTAAAGGTTTCCATTTTCTTCTTCCAATAGCCTGTCGAGTTCCTGCCCAAACACAGAGGACTTTGACAGGAGATGGGAACAGCAGGCTTTGCGCTGCCTTACCTGGAGGCCCCACGGGTCATGTCCTGTCACTCTCCCAGGACAAGTATCATCATATTTTTTTCCCTCAGCATCACCAGTTGGCTTCTGGCTGGAACTCTGACAGCTAAACAGACACACTTCCTGGTTTACAAGTTGTTATTCTATCACTGTAAGTATTAGTCAACATTTGGGTTTTAGTCATAACATAGCTAATACATAATTTTGTTTGCTTCACAGCAAATTAAATAAAGCATTGGCAGCACATTAAATAAATGGTTAAATTGCTTTGTTTTTTTTTTTTTTTCCTCCAAGTCTTCAAGTAAAATTGAAGCTCCAGACAGATGCACCATCTCTGTCCAGGAGCTCCAGACACCCCTCAGGGCTGCCAATGTGCCCAGAGTTGTGATAAACTGAGCCAGTACCACCACCATGTTGAGTCGGCACAGAAGGAACACACAGATGTTGGCAGTTTAAATAGTACTGATCACGGCCTCGTAATAGGCTAATGTCCTTAAAATTAGTACAATGGCTAAAACGGTGTTTGAATAAAATCCAGTTTTGGTTAGCCAATCTTTTAAAAGTCTAGCTAGATAACAACAAAGCTGACACACGTTTTAGTCTGTTGTAAGGCCTCTCTAACAAAAAGACAAGGTAAAACTCCCTGAATAACCGAGCATATCTATACGCTTGGTCATGGGACCACAGAAAACTAAGTAATTCTGTCAGTTGTGCAGTAACAAACAAGGCCCATCCCACCAATCTATCATTAGCTAAGCGGTTCCCAGACTAAATACTTAGCTTAAGAAATACATGGCTTACATAGCTTAAGAAATGAGACTGCAGAGGCACTTGGGTGGCTCAGTCAGTTGGGTGTCTGACTTCGGCTCAGGTCATGATCACACAGCCTGTGGGTTCAGGCTCCATGTTGGGTTCTGCTGACAGCTCGGAACCTGGAGCCTGCTTCAGATTCTGTGTGTCATTCTCTGTCTGCCCCTCCCCTGCTCACATTCTCTCTCTCTCTCTCAAAAATAAATAAACCTATTTAAAAAGAAAAGAAATGAAACTGTAAACAAGATCACAATTGATCACCACACTTGGAGATTTAGCTTGCCTATCACAGGCTTTCTTTCACTAAAATAAAAAAAAAAGCCGCATACCTTTATGTCTTTATAGGTTTTCTGAACTAAACTAGAGCATGCTTGGATTAGTGTCACATGCAGGACCCTCATGGGGTATTTCACTGACGTATCAGCAACCCCTCCTGACTTCTCTATGACTTTTGCCAGATTTTTACCCTACGGGATTCAGAAGGTTTTACTTGCTTTGGAAAAGACAAAGGGCTGCCCCCACGATTAGCAGCTCTTCCACAGTTGGTTGAGTTTTAGCCACAGGGATGTTGGAGTCTTTGTTATAATCATGCCCTAATGGCTAGTGGACAACTAAGGAAGGGAGGGGAGATTTGACTGAAAAACTTCAACAATGTTTTTGAATTTCTTGTATTGTCGGCTTTATGGTATTCTGAGAGCCATGACAGACTTCCCTTTGGCAATTTTTAAGGTGGAAGGATTACTGCTCATCATTTTCCTGTGTGTGATAAATATTGTAACTATCCAGCAAAACACAAGGTTTCGTAGGCCACATACATATGGTTATGGATGCAATTACATTTCTTGCACCTGTGCATTAAAGCCACTGGAAAATAACAGAAAAATTCCATTGTGAAAAATAATGTTTAACTTTTTTACCAAGGCGACTACAACGTTGAGGAAAATCATCAAAAGTTAACATTAAAAATTTAAATTACCTGTATCTCTCCTGAGATAGAGATTCTAAAATTCTGCAATATTAGTGCAAGCTTTTTCCTGAAGTGAGTTCTTTATTAATTTTATTTTTGATCATTCCTGTCACTGTATCAGCAGTAGAACATTCTTGGTCCAAATTAAAACTAATTAAAAGTTATTTAGGGAACGCAAGTGAATAACAATGTGTAACAGTTAGCACCTCTCAGAATAGAAACTCAAGCAGCTGACAAAATGGAAGCTGAAAAACCTTCATGGCTCTGACTCTTCCAGATGACAGCAGAAACTGGTTTGCTTATGTAAGCGATGTAAACCCAGCATCCAGCATGGTCTAGCTTTGGCACTAGTTCAGACCTGCAGAAGAGTATAATTGAAAGCAACTTGGATCTTTCTGTCTGTTGAGAAAGTGCCCAAGGTAGGAGTGCGTTTTAAATACCCAGCAAACTCCTTAAAAATACTGTTGCACTTCTCTCTCGATCTCTGACCAGCTCTCCTGCTTCGGTTTCCCTACCTGCTCCAGAGACCCAGCCTAAGGCTTCTCTCCTACTCCCTCTTTTCTCTGCCTCGGCTGGCCCTCCGAGGCTTCTTTAGTTTTCCTCTCGATTGCCATCACCTGGTATCTGTGTGATTTGTATCCCAGTCTTTTTTCTTGTGTCTGCCCCAGAGACCATGAGAAGCCGGTTGCAGAAGAATTTTGCCACCAAAGCATTTCCTGAGTCAGTCAAGTGGTTAGTCAA